AAAAAAAAAAAAATCAAGAAATAAAAACATCATAGCATTGGGCATGGTTGGTACTGAGAGTTCTCAAGTAGTTATCTAAGTCTTTACTAGCCAGTGCTGGATTGGCAAGGGGGACAAATAGTTTCTTGTGCCAGCCATGCCCCCAGAATGCTGAGCATCATTCAGGGGGCTCTAAAGATCAGGTGGGAGCCCAGCACGGTGACACAGAGCTTTAATGTCAGCATTCTGGGAAACCGAGGCAGGAGGATGAAAGTTCTAGCCTAGCCTAAGGCAACTTAGTGACTTAGACTGGATCTAAAACTTAAAAAGGGCAGGGGATGTAGCTTAGTACGAAATCCCTAGGTTCCATTTCTAGCACCAGGGTGAGGAGCACCAGGGTGGGGTCCTGCAGAGATCTGGAGAGCAGCCATCTTTCCTCCATCCCCTATCTTAGCCACTTGCTTTTCAGGAATTTTGGAAGGAGCTCTGGGTGTTTGTGTCATTTGCTTTTGTGACAGAAGGTAAAAGGAATGCTTGCTGTTGCGCTAGGAATTTCTGATTTATCTCTTGATAAAATCTGGTTGCGTGGTGATCTATAGCCAGAAAGAAGGAAGAGATGAATGAAATCTCTGCCCTCTTTGCCACCTCCTGATTCTTTTATTCTTTGGTGGTTAAGTACAGCAGGAATATCAATAAAGAGGCAGGCGGTTCAGATCTCAGTTAAGGAGTGCTTACCAGGGGATAGTATCTGTCGTGTGGAGGTCTGGCCTGGATGGGTATCATCTCATTGCCTATATTTGGTCGTAACCTGTCCAGATTTCTGTTCCTTGGCCATTTCAGTCCCTGCCACCTGAAGAAGTCATTCAGAATCCAAGGCCAGGTGGGGGACCTTCTTAAACTTACTAAAGACCCTGTCTCCTGGGGAACTAGAGAGAAGAGGATTTATTTGTGCATGTGTTTATTTGTAGGAGGGTTGAACCCAGAGCCTTGGTACTGAGCTATATATCTCTAGCCATTTATTTATTTATTTATTTATTTATTTATTCGCATAACTGGAGATTGAACTCAGGCCCTTGCGCTTGCCAGGGAAGCGCTTATTCCACTAAGCCATCACCACGGCCCCTCAATTATTTTTCAAAGATAGCTTTTTTTTTTTTAAAAAAACTATTTTTAGAACAGGTTGCATTTTTAAACCACAAAGACTCACACTGAAGAACTGAGAGCTATTTTTGGAAATAATAGCAAGCTGATTGATATAGTAATAAAAATTCCCTTTTTCTTGCAGGGTCACTGGGGAAAACATAATTGACATTTGCGTCTTTCTGGAAAGAGGCTTTATAATAACATTGCCTAAACTTTCTGGTATACTGCAGTTACTTCTTATAAATTCATGACTGCTGTGTTTACCTGGAAGTTCTGAGCATTAGTGCCTGGCGTTCCAGTCACCAGAGCCCCTCTCAGGAAGCGCATGTTGTGTGCAACTGGTTGTCACCGGTGGGAAGAACACTAGGTGATTGTGTATTCATAAGTTAGGAGGAACCTGGCACTCAGGTTTGGTGATGAGGCCTCTGCCAGGCAGCTATCAGGTGCTTCCGGGACGGATGAGGACTCTGGCTCATGAGAGGAAGATCAGGACAGGATGCATCCCTGCACCAGCCACCTGAGCTGGAGAGCAAGCCACAAGATAGTGACCTACCACCGCAGTGCCGTGAGCTGTTGTGGTGATCGTGTTCCTTATCAGTGGCAGGTTTATTGTTTTGAGTTTTTTTAAAGACTTTCTAATAACTTTATTTCAAAATTTAATATTCAGGCTGTGGTTTGTCTGATTTTTTTTGAGACAGTATCTTGCTAGGTAGCCCAGGCTGCCTCTGACTCACAGGATTCCTCCTGCCTTAGTCTACTGAGCAATGGGATTATAGGCATGCACCACCTCGCTTGGCTTTCAAATGTTAGTATATTTGAAAGTATGAAGTGCACTAAGAAAGGTAAAGAAACCAATTATTAAACCAATTATTAAAAATAACGTTATGTACACCAATTGTTTTCATTCTGTGGGTTATGAAATCTATTTAGTTGGTTGTAATCAACCTTTATTTTGGAGGAGGGTCTCACTATGTAATTCATGCTGGGCTTGAACTCACTCTGTAGCCCTGGCTAGCTTTGAACTCAGGGTGATTTTCCTGCCTTAGCCTCTGGGGTGCTGGGATTTTAGGTTTGTACCACCATTCCGGCTCCAACATTTTGTAAAAAATAAAATAATTAGTCAAGTGTGATGGCTCACAGCTATAAAGATCTGGTCTTAAAATTTAAAAATGAGAAGGTCTTAGGATGTAGCTCAGTGTGAAGGCCCTGGGTTCAATCCCCAATACTGAGGGGCCTGGGGTGAGAGGGAAGGTAGCAAAGAAACAAAGAATCAGAATATATTACATCTAGTAAATCTAACATGAAATATGTTACTTGTATATAACTTAGTAGTGTATACAGAATTATAATGGTAAATGAATTTCCTACTATGGGTCACAGTAAGTTTGAAGATCATAGATCTACATTTTAATTAAATCTGTCTCTGCTACCTTTTAAAGTACAAGTTCAAAGCTTCAATACCCAGTATAATGTAAATACTTGATTGGCTATGTTTATGCTGAAGCTTTGTGCTGCATGTGTTTCCTTTCTCTTGTTGTTTAGCTACTTTTGTGTCTTGTTTATCCCAATTTAAAACTGATACCATCTGAATATAGATAAACTAATTTCTAAATATTGGTAGGCTGAAACTCAAGAGTCACAAAGTCAGAAAGAGAAAGAGCAAGAGAAAGGAAAGAGGGGAGAGAATAAAACTAGTGGAGATTTTGCTGATAATCATCAAATTCAATCGAAACCCCGGGCAGAGGAAGGGTCTGCACCGTGGTGGGCTAGGCTGCTCACGCTTGGGCAGCTCGGGAAGGAAAGGCATAAAACCAAAGGATTCCTTTCTCAGCTGAAGTCTAGAACTCGGCAAATCTGGGAGGAAGTGAAAGGGAAGATGAACTCTGAAGAAATTCAGATTTCAAATCACTAGAAATCTGAAGTCACCGAGAACCTAGCCGGCAGGAAGTAGCCAAACAGGAAGGCCTTTGAAGACGTCAGGCGCACTCTGCGCTCCCAGCAAGGCCTGGCTTATCTGGGGGGAGGGAAAGCCTGCTTTGCCTTCAGGGTCTCCATGGAGTGCCTTGCTGAAGTGTTTGTGTCTGCCTGGAACTTATCTCAGAGCCTTGGATCTGTCCACTTGGCTGAGAGGGAGAGGCAGAGGCACATGCTGGGATTGGACACTCCTTTATCTTACGCTGGGTGGTGACAGTAATAGCTTTAGGGCCAAAGTACACATGGAGCGTTCACAAACACTCAGTATAGAAAAGCTGATGTACACAAAGCAATGAAAACTATGTTTGGAAATTATCTAAGTAGCAGCGTTTGTGGTCATTTGGGGACTTAGTGGTTGTTATTTAAGAAGTCAGCCTCAGGCCACAGACCTCGGAAGTGGCAGAGCCAATTTTCTGACTGGCAAGCAGAGCTCTTTCCTGGTCTGTCCCATGCAGGGTGAGCTGGGGCCCAATATAAACAAGTAAAAATGTGGCAGCAAATTGGTACAGAAATTTTGGGGGCCATGTATCTTCCTACTTGGGTTGAATATACCCATGGTGTTCACAGAATTTAGGATGTCTTTGCATAAAAAATGACTTTGAAGTTGTAAGTTTGCATTCTTTTCATGTTTTAACAAGTGAATTTTTTTTTTCATTAACTATGACCTTGCTTGGGATTTTAACACTACCTGGAATTCTCCAAGTTCCCCAATGATTGGTTATTAGAGAGAGTGTGGGGCTGGGGGCATGGGTTGTCTTTTTAAAGAAGTATATCCCTACTGTTTTGCTAGCTTTTTAAAAAATATATATATTTGGTACAGGGTCTCACTACACAGCTTGGACTCCTAGTGGTTCTCCTGTTTTCAGCCTCCCCAGAGCTAGGATTACAGGCATGTGCCACCAGGCCCAGTCTCAGTTGCCCGCTCAGTGTGGGCAGGAGGGGGATGGCGCAGCAGCATGGCATGTGGTGCTGGGGATCGAACCCTGGTCCCTGCACTTGCCTAAGCAGGCGCTTAGTCCTCTGAGCTATCTTGCTAGCCCTCCTACTGCTTTGAAGCCAAGAGAATTTTAATTTTTGGTAAAGTTTATTCATTTAGTTTTGCAGTGCTGAGGCTTGACCCTCACTTGATTCCTCACTCTTGCTAGGAATTGCTCTATCAAGGGGCAGCCTCCCTCATTCTTTGGTCAAGTATCAAATTCCACTGGCCAACTTTTCCACAGATTTCTTGACTCCTTTTTATATCTGTTAGTCATTCAGATAAATAATTTTCCCAATGCATATGTAAGGATGTAACCTATTAATACTTTGCTTATTCTAAGAAACTACAATCTGATTTTAGATGCAAATTTACATGTAAAAAAGAAATTCAAAGAAGTTCAATTCAGTTTAGAGGTTTTTTTTTTTTTTATTAAAGAAAACCATTGTCCTGTTAACAGACTAAAGTATGTTTGTTTTAAATATTTGTCAAGAATAAAAGAGCAATAAGCTGAGCATGGTGGGTTGCATCCACCTGTAATACCAGCACTCAGGAGGCTGAGGCAGGAGGATTATGGTGGGTTTGGGGCCAGCCTGAACTGCATAGTGAAACCCTGTCTGAAAAAAGACAGACACACAGACACACAGAAAGGTCTTTTCTTAAAGACTTTTACACTGAGTACAGTGGCTGGCACTTATAGTCCCAGCTATTTGCAAAACTTGAGGCAGGAGAATCACTTGAATCCAGGAGTTTAGGACCCGCCGGGGCAGCATAAGGATCCCCCTCTCAAAAACCAAACTGAGAACTTTTTAGTCCCCAAAGCCTATCTTGTGTCATGTTGGTATTAAAGATGACCCAGGGTGAGTTTTACTCAGGTCATCAAACATAAAACTGCTTAATGGCATTATATTTCCAAATAGTTACTGTGATTTTAATTTTTCTGATACAGATGAGGAGCTAGTACTGGGTAGCAGTTTTGATCAAGACATAAACGACTATCACAAGCTGCACTGGGAAACAGAATTCAAGCCTGTGGCGGAGCAGCTCCTGAGCCGCATTCGGAGTTCTCGCGCCTCCCTGGCCCCGCTGCCTGTCCCTTCCCTCTGACCTCAGCCGTGGAAGCAGGTCACCCTCCTTCTTAAGCAGTGATTACAAATGTAAACTTTTTTTTAGTATTAAAGAAGTATTGAAAGTTTTTAAGGTACAGATTGTAGTGAATAGTATTTTAAAATAAATACGCATTTCTTATTAGGTATGGAAAAATGAATATACATGTTATTTATTATGAGAAATGTAAGTTGAAAATATGTACATTTTAAAAAATAAATGTCTTTTTCTCCTATTCTCCTAGTAATTTAGTGTTAGTTTTGAAATCCCAATTTAACAATTTGGGAATTCAAGTGCTTTATTAGTTAAATGAACTGTG